TATCTATATGACCATATAAAATACATCATAATATTAATAATGCACTTATGTGCATTATATTAAAAACTATATTATGCGATACGAAACTTGAATACTATAAAGCGTTGGAGCTCTTTTGGAACTTAGTAATTATATTATTATATAGCGTAGTGATTATATCATACGAGTATGAATAAATAAGTATATTAAACTTTAAAATATACCACATTTGCAAAATAACAATAAAAACATTATTTATTTATTTATTTAGTTATTTATTTGCATAATAATTTATTACTTCATTACTGCGAACTATTTCTTCTAGATATTATTACAATTTATTATAAATAAACTGTATGGAATAAATATATCATATTATAGCGTTCATACAGGTAACTATACTAACTACACAAATTATTGTTTTAGAACATAAATTTATGACTAGAAATCATTACATAATTTTTCAATATAATACAAAGATAACGGTATTTAATTACCTAATTATATTCCACAAATTAATATTCATAAAATAACGTGAAAATAGGTAAAGAAAAAATAAAGGTACAATTTAACTAAACTTTATTTTAATATACACTTTATGTTTACAATATTATTAAAGTTATATATTATATATTACTCAATTTCGAAATATATGTTGGGAAGCCTTTGCATATTTGGTGGTTATGACTATATGTAATTTAATAGACGTTCTATATCATCTATTTACACAATAAACTTTTAGTAAAGAATGTAACTATAAGTCATATTAAAATAAAACAAAACGTAATAATTGTATATACACTCGTTGCAAATCTGTAATATTATAATATAACTTCCAATCAAGAGATTTTATTCATTGTCACATAATAATATTATGCAATATGCGATACACGTATATTTATCATATATAACTTATTAGTAATTATTATTTTAGTATTTTTTTATATGTTTTAAATTTCAGTATTCTAATTTTTTATTTTTCTTTTTAATAATTAAATTCTTGGCATCTTAGGTCATTTGGAGAGATTATAACATATTATGTATATTTAATTAAATACAAACTACATATTATAATTGGATATATAGTTAACAAAGACTTATTAGTTATTACAATATAAACAGTTTAGATAGTTCAATGATATTAAACTGTGTTGAGTAAATTGACAATAATGATGAATTAGATAATGACAGTGATAAAGTTGCAGCACGGGATCCCAATTTCAAGAAATTCAATTAACATTTGTTGGGTACCTACTTTTATTAATTAATTAACGATAAAACACTATTTTTTTCCATTATTAAAAGTTTTAATAATAATAAACAAATTAAATAAGAGACCAATACCTGACTCTTCAGTATTATTATTATAATAAATTATTGAGCCATTAAAGAACACATTACATTATTATGTGATCTTTTATTATATTATAATAGAAAAAAATAATAACTAAATCTAAAAGCGAAAAAGAAAATAGCTTACAGCTTCTATTATTCCTATAACTGGTTAGGTTAGGTTATAGGTTAGGTAGGTTTGGTTCGGATAGAATCGTTCAAAGTGTTTAAATGAAAACACATGCCGAATGTACTTAAATGTATATATATATTAAAAATTACAATATCGCTGGAATAAAACAAATCACAAATTACAAAAAAAAAAAAATGATATAAACAATTACATAACTAACTTTACAATTTAAGTATAGATTATTTAAAACAAATAAGTATACCTATGTATTTTGGTCTTTGGAGAAAAATATTTAAAAAAAAACATTAAAGACTAAACTATGAATATTAAATTTTAACATTTTATTTAGAATCTAAACATGATTTTTTCGACTAAATATATCTTTATAGTTATGAATTTAATGTTTATATAATTAATTTAAGTAAGTATTAATTATAAGAACATTTTTTAAGAATTTTAAAAATTATATATGACAATTAGTACCAATGTAACATTAAAAACAACCAATCTATATTAAATAAAAATATATTTTTTTGTATATTATGTTATGCATTTATAAGTATTATAGTTATAAATCTGAATGAATGATTATATTATATTCATTGTATAGTTTAATTTATTGATACCTAACGTAAAAAACATGGGTCTTTATAGTAAATTTGGAAATGTATAAATACTATTTATGTAAAAACTAGTATTTGAAAATATTACTATTCGTTAATACTTTTTAATTTTCTAATTTATTACAGGCATACATATAACTATAAAATATAATTATATTAGTTCGTAGAGTATTTTACTATACATATTTCTCTGTCTAATTGTTACAAGCAGTTTATTACAATTATAGGTTAAATTAAATAGTATTATGTTACATTATTATATTTTCTATTTGACTTAATTGTTTGCATAATTTACTATTGGTAGGTATATAAGTAGTTTTTTTTTTAAATAAATCAACAATTACTGGTTTTAGATATATTTTAATTTTTATTGAAAGTTACATATTAAACAGAACGGTATTATAATTATCGTAACACCAATAATATATTATAATAATGGTATTGAAAACTATAATTGTAGTAATAGGTAGGTATTATGTACATTTATTATACAGTCAAATCATTTATTAATATTTTCCTAAATGCATTTTCATTGTTGACATTACAACAAATAAGTAAATATTCAATATAGATATTGTAAATTAACTGGCATATACTATACATTGACAGCTGGTGTGAGTATAATGCAGGCTATGGTTAAGGCATATATCATGATAAATGACTCAATAAAAAAGCAATATAGGTATATGTCAAGTATAAAAAATTATTGGAAATTAAATGCATACAATAATATGAAGCTATATAAGCTATTCAACAAGAAATAAGTAACTTCAATATACCTACTCAATCAACTCAATCATTTGGATAAAAAAATACAGATGTTGCATATAATATATTAACTATACTTACTAGAAAGATATTTTTTAAGTTTATTCAGTCATAAACGTATATATGTTTTGTGAAATGAAGATGGATCCGATCAATTAGTATAGTATTCGTATAACTATTACCTATAGTTATTTTTGCTAAAATTATAAAAATATATGAGTAAATAACTTATAACACCAATATAAGACATCCATTAATATGGAATATTTTTTTACCTGGACATAAAAGCGTATAGCCATATATGTTAACTATATTTTCTTATACTATCAAGTTAAGGAATTCAAGATTTATTCTCATTATATTATAAGTTTAATTATGTAGTACATAATATACATAATAGGTATATAATTTTTAGGAGGCGATAAAATTATTATTATTAATCATCATAAATTTTAATATTATATGCAATAGTGTCTATAGAGATATAAAGCTCTACATGACGTACTTGCAACAGCCGCATGTAATTTCTTCAAGTACTCATGGCTCAGTACTGCAGCATAATTAATATATTATATATTGCCCTGCTGCAATCTTTCGTAGGATTTGCACTAGTACTAACGCACACCAATATAGATATATCATATTTATTAATTGCATATATTTTAGATATAATATAATATATATCAGTGATTCCCAATTAATATTATATATTATATATAAAAATATAGACCATACAGTATTTAAGTCTTGAAGATTGAAACTGAATAGATAGAAGACTTTGTATTGGAATAAGAACGTTTTTAAAATTATACACACAACTAATAATTTTAGGTTTTATTAACAGGTTTTTTCTAATTTTTGGTTTTAATAAATCATATTATTTTTATCTCTACTTGTAAAATATTTACGGTGTAAAATTAATGTTAAATAACAGTTATGATAATAAATATGATTTCAATCTAAATTGACAATAAAATATAGTCATCATATTATAATATTATACGTCATAATAATTGATGCCGTACTCAATATATTACAACCAAAATAAAAACTAACAATGTCTGGGATATAAAATAGACTGAAAATCTTAACTATAATTAAAATATACCACCACAAAAATCGTAACTTTAGTTTTGTATTTTGATGAACCTGCAGTTAAGCGGTAAACCTATAAAATTATTATGATTTTAATACCGCGAGTTATGTGCAGTCAATAGTGCAGTCTATCCAATAAAATATATGGTATATTTATGAATTTATGATATATGGAGAAGATCATTATACTTATATTATTTCCAGCATTACAGGCGTGCTGCAATGGATGTTTTTTTATAGACTTAGATGCGTATGGCTGCAAGATTCATATAGCAGTATAGTGACCATTGCGGTATAACTATAATAATATTATAGGTATATGTGTGTACTGTGTATACAAGAACGAAATAATTAAAATGCGCTTACAATACTGCATCAAACATCGGCCGATGATACCTACCTATATCAAGACCATTGCATACCACGGTATTAAATTATTATCGTTGCACTATTATTCTTGTACATATGATATATAGTCGCATATATACTCCGCGATGGAAATGTTAATCATTTAATTACCTATTCATATTTTCGTAATAACAATATTATATATTGTACACGATAATAATAATTTATATACATTAATTCACGACGTTAGATGCATCTAATTTATTATAACGTATTATTATTTTATCGTGAGCCAGTATGTTCGTGTGATGTGATAAATATAACCTGTTCATAGATCACACACGCGTGTGTACACGTCGAGTCTCCACGGCGGTAAGGAAATCGAGAAGAGAGGACGAAAAGCGGTAGGAGGAAGACGGTGACGACGACGACGCACAGTCTTTTGACGGAGCGAGGGAGGGGAAAAGACCGTCGCACCAATGCGCCGAGAAAGAGAAGAACGGAGCCTTGTAAAAACGGGCGGCGCGGAAGGAGCAAGTGAGAGGGTATATTATTCGGGCGCGTGTACCGTGTTTTTTTTCCCCCCTCCTTTCGGAAAAATCCTAAGTGGGTGTTACGCGGCAGCCGGTGCGGTACGGCGCGCGCGGTCCCCATCGCTGCGGCGCTCCGTTCGGGCACGCCCGGCCGGCCAATAGCGGGACGGCCGCGGACACGCCCGCCTCGCCGCCGCCGCCGGGACGCCGCCGGTCCGACCGCGCGTCCGATGCGACGCGCACACCGGCACTGGATCCCTGTGGACGCGGTGCGTTTCGCCGGGGCACACTTACACTCACACACACACACACGCAGCACACGCATAATCGCGATCGCGCGCACGCCGTCCGCCGCGCTGCAGTTTTCGTCCGACCAGCGATACACCGTCCGCAAACGCTTACCGGAGCGCACGTGCCCGGCACGATACGACCAAATCATAATATTATACTCATTACTCATTAGTAACATTATCTAATAATGATAAAGTGATATTAAAACGGCCGCCACGCCACGCGTATTACAATAATAATAAATAATAATATTATTTTTTATCGTTATAGTGCGTTGTATATTGTACACGCGAAAGTTATTACATCGTATTATAGCGACAGTGAAATACCTACGAGATTAGCCGCGCGTTGTGAATCGTAACGTTAATTCGCGTATACACGCACAGCTACGACGACCACGACGACCACGACGACGGCCGCGACGGGCGCAGATGTGCAGCGCGCGATGAGCGTGGCCGCCAAAGACAAGACGATGCCGCAGCGGTCGCCGTTCGCCATACAAGAGCTGTTGGGCCTGACCGACAGCAACAGGAGCCCCGCGGCCGCCGTGTCGGCTGTTACGCCTCAGTACCCGCAACCGCCGGCGCCGCCGTCGGCGCCCGGGCCGGCCGGACCGTCGTCCTGCTTTACCGCTGACCGGGACGCCGGTCGGATGCACCACCACGGCCACCATCACGGCCATCACCACGGCCATCACCACCACAGCCACCACAGCCAGATGGTGGCCAGTCGGTTCGCGTACTTCAACGCCCAGGCCGCCGTGGCCGCCGCGTTCCTGCCGCACAACATGAACTCACTGGCCGCCGCCGTGGGCATGACCGCCGCCGCAGCCGCCAACAACAACGGCGGAACGCCGCTATCACTCACCTCCAACCACTCGGCGGCCGCCGCCGCCGCTGCAGCCGCCGCCGCTGCCGGTAAGTCGTCTGGAAATTATAATTAGATCCGCCTCCAAACGTCATACTTATATCCATTATAAACTTGTAGGCTGTAATATTATATTGAACAAATGTTATAGCTTAACATTACAAAAGAGTATTTTTATTTTATTTATTTGTTTATTTTTTACTTTTTTTTATATATAATATATTTACGCCTATCGGCATATTTGCAATGGTATCAAACGATTAGTATAAATTTCATGATAACAAGTAATTATAACGTTAAAAAATAAATAAAACAGATTAATATAACAAATAGAATAAAGAATTTATTCGAAATAGATATATCCTGAAAGATTAATATTAAGATCCACCACTTCTCTCCGACACGTTCAAATTGACAGACTCAGTACATTTAATTATGATATCATTAAAAAAAACACCCGTAAAATTGTCTTTAATAACCAAAGAAAGCTTAAATGTTATTTTTTAAGCATACAATGTATCAATAGTATTGTTTTAAATACACTTATTAAAGAACTAAAACTTACACAGTAAATTATTATTAACTTCTAGTAATAAACTCTTTTAGTATTACTATTTAATTATTTGATAGCTGTCTTTAAAGGAGCTAGCCTCCGCTTCACAATTAACCTTAGGAACACCAAGTTTCACGCTATGTTACTGATGATTTCACTAACCATTGCCTATAGAGTGTATGCGCATATGTTTTACCTACATATGCGTCTATCAATTTATTTGATAGGTTATAATTTATTTTATCTATGAAACATACGATTTGGTTCACAATAAATTTGAATATTAGGAGTCAGTTATAATAATTATTCTATTATTAAAAGAGTATAAGTATAACTATAATTAAACGCACTATGCGAGGTTATGGCATACATTAAATTAAAATATTCAGCCATATATTTTTGATTACATGTAAATAAATTTATATATACACACTGAACAATATAATTATTATTCAAATTGACTCCGCATCGACGCTCTAATTCCCCATAAATGTTTAACTATAAAATTGAAGAAATAATTATTCATAAGATTTTTTTATAAATTAAAATAAGTATGTATATTAATTTAGGGTTAGGCTTATAATATAAGTTACAACACAATTTTATTCATCGAACTATATAGTTAACTAATTAATTGAAAAAGTGTCCATGAACAGTAATATAATTTTTAAGAGCATTTTAACTAGAATTTTTTAATATATATAAATTTAAATTAATATTTTAAAGTATTTTATTTTAACCTTAAAAATATTTGTAATGAACTACAATTAAAATTAAGAACTATAAAAACAAAACATGTGTAGAATAAAACATTATTAATATACAAATAAAATAATGTTTATTCAATAATTAATTAAAATATAATAGCATGCACTTAATTTTCACACTGATAGTTAATTATTTTAAAAATTTTAATAGTTAAACTAAAATATATTAAATAAATAATCATATAATTGTATAAACTCTATATATTTGACCATAATATATTAAAATAAATACAATATATCTATAGGTTTCTTATAATATTTATAATCTAAATAAGTTAAATAAAATAAATATTATTTTATACTCTAATAGTTTTATACATTTATCCATGTACATTTTAATACAACTTAATGTATTATTTTTATTATAAATTCACAATTTGTATTATATAAATATTAATCGATTGACCGTAAGATTAATTATTATCAGTTTTAGTAATTTAACACAATGTTATTATGTTTATATTAATTTAATTCTGGTCTTCCAGCCGAAAACAGTCTACTGATGGTTTTAATGTAGCTTGTAGCAAATCCTAAATACCTACTTCCGAATTGGAATTACCAACCAATTTTGTAGGAAGGCTTTCTCGATTTTTCCCACCTAGCAACCAATCGGTAAAAATTGAATTTATATTAAAGTATAAGGATGGGCTCCCTTTTCATGCATATAATTTTTATGTGAAATCAAAATGTTTCCAAATGCAATTTCCCAGCCCGGTAGACCCGTCATAAATCATAAATTGACTTAATTAAATAATCCATGCGTAGCAAGGAAATTTAAAAAAAAAAGTAAAAAAAAAAAACTAAAAATACGCTTGTCACTTAATGCGTATTATTTGATTGCGATCAATTAAAATCGTTTAATCAGTATTACAAGTTATAAACGATTAATATACGTATTGAAACACAATCCTTAAACTATAGTAGTTCAAGCAATCTATTAAAAAATATTCGATGAGTCGGACCTTTTGTAACATGTGTAAACGAGTGAAAAAAAATTCTTGCAGTTTTAAACCACATATAAATAATAAATGATGAGGATTTATTCTTGACAAGTTTTGTAATTTCAATCTAGCCCTGATTACGTGTATCCGGTTGATTTTATGCAAAATAATATATTAACTGATTTATTAAATTATTAAGTTTATTTTTTAAACAATATGATGGTAAACTTGTAGAATATACAAATTTTTATACTACACTAACTTTATATTACATGATACATATTATTATAATACATTTAATATATATATATATATATATATATATAAACTATACATACACTTAGATATTTATAATTTTGGATCATAATTCATAAATATTAAGGAAAATAGCTATTTAGTATAAAATGATCATGAGAATACTATAAATATTACCGCCTAGGTATAAATTACATTTAATTTTATTAGACCTAACCTAACATAATGACAAAATATAAATGCTGACCTATTATCTATCTCCACTATCAATGATTCTCAAACATATTTTCTTCGTGGTACACTATTATTATCAAGAATTAAAACTTGCAGCACACTTTCACATAACAGTTTGTGTAACTTAACCTAGGTATTTTTTCACGGCAATAAGTACTTACCTACTTTTAAATCCTAAAACAACAATTATTGCTGACTCGACAAATATTTAACTATATATTGTGAAATATTATAATACAAATTCATATATATATTTTTTTTTTATAATTTTATACTTTTCTATAATATTATTTTTACAAGCTTGAATAAAAAATTCCACATTTTCACAACTTACTCTTTAGGAACACAGTTGAACAACACGAAAAAATATTTAAAAATGCATTTGTCTTGAATTTAAAACATTTTTATTATTTAAATATATATATATGTAGAGTCTATAATATAAGCTATAGAGGATAAAATTTCAAATATTTTTGTTAATGTTTTTATGGTGGTTAGATAGTAAAATAATTATAGTATAGTTGATATTTTTAAAAGTCGTAAATTAATCTGCAGGTACACAGTACGTGTTGAAACTACATAATATTATAAGTATAGCTTTAATACATCCAAATTTCTATTATAAAACTTAAAATATTGCTCATCTTGTAAGTTGTTCATTTTATTATATTTTATCTTAATTAGAACATTGAATAAATACCTATACATTACTAATAGATACATTTTTTTAGTTTAAATAAACTATCTTGTTAACTAAATTGAAATGAAAAACAAATAAATATACTGTACTTACTAAATATCCCAAAAACCTAATGTTTAATTTTTAAAGTTACATAATTACTATTCAGTAATCTATATGTATAAGTAAAATTAAATATTAAGTATATTCATTATTTATAACATAAGTACAATTTTATAAATTGAAAACAATGGTGTATAGTATTGTATAATATTGATTAAGTCCAGGCTACTTTTAGGTGTTATTATTGAGTCTATTGAACCTCTCATACCGTTTAATATGCAACGATGATATAGGTACATATAGCTGGTATTCGTCGACGGCTTGGTGGTGTATATTCGTTTAGTAACGTACCAATTGTTTACGAAAATAACGTGGTAATTATAATAGTATATAGAGTGTTAAAATAAGTAAAATGTATAAAAATTAAAGTAGTAAAATAAATCTATGTATAAAAATGGTTAAAACACATAATATGTTAAAACTAAATTAACTATAAAAAATAATTTTGTCAATAGTTATTAGTTATACGTGTTTAATAAATTAGTCTTAAACGGACCGTAAACGAGAGACGCCTTTATCATACTGTCGTTTTTGTAGACTATTATTGGTTATCAATTTAGATGTAAGTAAGTATATTATTATCTATGTATAAAAACAAATTAATTTGTGCTTGATTATGGAAATTAAAAATATTAATTAATCATCGAATATATTATATCAAAATAGCTTAATAAATAATTATAGATGCAACAGTTGTATATGGTCAATTTTGTCTTTTGTGTATTTTAAACATAAATACAAATACATGTAAGCCAACTTTACTATGGATATAATATGAAGCGAACGCAACGAAATAACTCTTTTAAGATAACAAGTTTTTCTAAGTAGGTACATAATATAATATGTATTCAGTCTTTAAATACAATAAATAGAAATACTAGTTATAACCACATTCGTTTTTTTTTTTTTTACTTTTAAAAATTACTTAATACAAAATACATTTAAATAATAATCGTAGGTTTAACAATTTTGTTCAGATTAGGCTCTATTAATTGAAAATAAAAAACAAATACAACACCGAGCTTAAAATAAATTTATCGTTAATAATTTGTAAAATATTTTGGAAACCACTTAAGTACGTGCATGTAATAAATTATATCTTTATAGAAAAACACCATCTTGCTAAAATAACTCAATTTAAAAACTCAAAAGTCTGTTTAAAACTTTAATATTTACACAGGTAGTTCGGCTATAGACATTAGGCGCATGCGTACAATGCGTATTATAACACTTATACATTTATTTCTTTCATAAGAATAACTCAAGCATACATACTTTTAAATATGTTATGTTACTGAATTCATTTGTCCAATAAATATAGATATATCTGAACCCATATTGGAATAAAAATTAAATTATGTTCTTATTAAATTAAATAATTGCTGGTTACATTGGTAACAACGTTTAAATAATTAATATGTATACTAAACAATATGCATATTTATTCACACAATCACATACACATACAGTATCCCTTGATTAAAATACGCGAATCTAT